CAGATTTAGAGATAAGAGTGAGGAAAACTGCTGATTGTAGAAAACGGAATTGGGAAAACTTGAAAGAAAGGACGAAGTAAGGATGTAAAATGGAAAGAGAAATAAAAGCTTGGGACGGAAGAGAAACATTGGAAGAGGATAAAGGAAGGTGTAATATAAATTAGCAAAGAGCGGATCGGGTTTCAGCAAGGGGCGAAGAATAAAGAAACCGTGGATAACAACAAAAATGATAAATAAGATCAAAGATGGAGGAAAGGAGGAAGACTTTAAGAATTTAATAACATGATTTGGTATATAACAAAATTTAAGAAGAATACGATGGATAGGGAGAAAAAAGATGGAACTATGACAGGGATAGAAGTCATAGAGGAGAATCTAGGAGAGAAACAGTTTGGTCTGGGAAGAGGAATCGGCACGAGAGGCGCAATAGGTGTGGTGAGAACGATCGGAGAAAGATATTAGGAAATAGGATTCGATTGGGTACAGAAATTGTTGGAAAAACTAGAGAGGAAGGGTGGGAACGGCGACTAATACGAAACTTATACAGTGTGTCCCAGGTAGAACGCACCATGGGGAAACGACAATGTATTTTTTCGCAAAGGACCCACGACGCCTTTGAAATTAGCGTTCAACGTACTACTCTAATCTCTTTCTAGCATCGGGCAAGCGCAATAACGTACGTTGAACACTAACTTCAAATAACGGCCGATCAAAAATGAGTGACGGTCGAGTCGCCTTTGGAAGTTCAAGTTTCCCATGTAAACAAAAATTCCAAAGGTGACTAGACAACAACTCATTCTTGGTCGCAAAGGCCTCGTGGATCCTTTGCGAATAAAATACATTAATTCTGTTTGCCTATTGGTGCGTTCAACCGGGGACACGCGGTATATGGAACAAAAGGCAAAAATCAGGGTCGGCTGTAAACAAACGAATTGGTATGTCATCGAAAGAGAAGTTAGACACGGATGCCGTTTATCATCCACTTTTGTTTATTTGATATGTAGAAGTGGAAATGTGTTGGAAAAGGGGAAAATATAGTATGGACATCGGAGGGAAGAAGATGATGGTATAATTGTACTTGTTTAGAGTGAAAAAGAACTAGAGATATTGTTAGAAAGGATAGATGACATGAAAAGGACACATAAACACAGAAGAGCAAAACAAAAGTTATGAAAGTGGGAGTGCAGGAGGATATTCAAGTCATGGTAGCAGGTAGATGTGGTGGGGATAGAGCAAGTGGAAAGATATAAGTATTTAAGTACAGAGATAACACAAGGTTGGAAAAGCGAAAGAGAAATTCAGATCAGGATAACGCAAAACAAGTATTTAATAGTGACATGCGAATTTTATGCACCATTACTAATTAATGACTGCTTGTCGCTTGGTGTTTCCCCAGATCATCTAAACACACAACGAACAGGCACAAATAAGCACGCACTTCGAAAATGAAAGGATAGATCAACAATTCAAGCTGTCTTGCAACTACAAGATTTCGTCTATACCACCTTCGAAAGTCACGATCTGATATCGGCCCAATTATACAACTTAGTTCGACTCCCTATGCTATAGGTACTCGCAAAATCGTTAGCAAATCGTAATCGTAAATACCCTTAGTTCCGACGCTCTGATAGTGACAAAGGGTGTACCACAAGGGCCTGTCCTTGGGCCCACTTTATTTTTATTATACGCAAATGACATAATTCATTAGCATCTAAAACTATCAATCCAGGGAGGCTGTTAAAAAATTTTCCTTTCCTCAATTAGTCACATTTACCGGCGATTGTGAATAATAACCGCATCAATCACTTCGACCTAACATATAAGACACAACATGACCTTGCGCACGACACCCGTACCAAAGACTTAATCAACATAAAACCATAGTGTAAGAATACACTATGAAAAAACGTAGGAGTAGGAATTCAACCATCACGGTTTCAAATTGTTTAATCATCTACCTGACACGATAAGGATTGCCTCTTCAAACAAATTCAAAATTTATGTTATAAATATCTTGCTAACTGGTAGGTGGCTTTTATTCGATCGATGAATTTTTGTCCTCCAAACTGTGATGTTAATTTTAATTTGTTTTATTTTTAGTTGCGACAAGTGTAAATACAGTAATGTACTTTTAGCACAAATATTATTATCTATTATCTGTAAGATGGCAATTCAGTTAAGCAAAAGAGATTGGGAAAATGTTTTGTAGGAAGTGTTGGTTGGAAGTAGATATGGAGAAGAATGATGAACATCAAAAGGGCTGATAAGATAAGTAATATAAAAGTATTAAGTAGAAATGGAGAGGAAAATGAACTGGTTCGTACATAAAAGAACTGTTTGTGGAAGGAAATAATCGAGGGAACTGTTCAAGGAGAAAGGAAAAGAGGAAGAAGAAGAAGGAAATTGGTTGACGACCTGAAGGAAGGAGAAGATGAATACGAAGGAGGATAAAGAGTTGTGGAGAAGAGCCATCAAGGACCTGCATTATCAGAAAACCAATGATAATGATGATGTTTGTTACATAGAAGAATTTGTATTGTTTGCTAAATGTCGTCCATAGTGTTGATGGAGCACATTGATCGAATTTTATAACAAGTGAATTGGCAAGTACAAGTAAATTAATTATAAATTAAAATGGTGGACAATATTAACTCGGTACCGTTTAAAACGGAAATTCCTGCTTGAATTGCAGTTATCTTGACAAAAATGTAGGTCCATAGAAAATTTTTTGATAGTGGCAGTGAAATGGAAATAAATGAACATACCTCTCGACTCAAGGAGTACCTAAATCCATGGGACATTTTTAATTAATTCGAAAAGCACATCCGTTCACTCACTACAAAGTCACGTAACTGTGAATGGTGAAATTTACAACCGGACATATAAGGCGTTCAAGATAATAGACCCAATTATTCTGTTTACAATGAAATTGATAAGGGACGACTTTGAACTGGAACGTTGCTCCTCCTCTTAATTTTATTGTTACACTTAGTACACACGCTTCCCCGGCTTTCCTCGCTAAATACTGCAAGACCGTCGATACGAAAAACCATCCCCTCGAATCCTATCAACGCGCTGAAAAGGATACTTCCTCCTATACATGCCTAAGTGCCCGTCTTTTGTGTATCAAAACCGCAAATTCGCCGGCCTGGACAAACGGTTCCGATATCGCTAGATCGACAAACTGAGCAACGTAGTAAAGAAAATTTTCCGTGTCACGACGGCGATAGGAAAAACTAGTTCAAGGTTGGCGTGCGTTGGAGATAAAACTGGAAAGTAAACAGTATATAAACGCGTTTGCGAAAGGCCGTTTTAGTTATTTATAAAAGTTTATTTCAATCAAATTTCCGACGAGAGTCGATCGGACGCAATCAATTTTGAAAGAAGCCCCAATACTGTTTCATTACGGTTTTCGCTGCAATGGACGAAACGCTACGGGTAATTATGCAATAATCTAGAAAACTGAAGAGAAAATTGTCGTTTCACTAACGTTCGAATTTTGAACTTTTCGTGTTGGACACGGTGTACGGTAGAGAAAAGTCCTCTTCCATTTTTATTTAAGGAACTAACAGTGCTACAACTCATTTACGTTGGCAATGAAACATTGCACACGATGTTCTAATGGGTAATCTCCTGTCACGTTTTCATTACTGCAGAAAATAAACCAAAACCCCTCTACGCTGTAAGGAATAAGCTGCGGGAAATTGGGTGGAAAAACTTGTACGTTCGAGAAAAACGAATTCAATTTTCTCGAAGCAGTTCGTCGTTTCTTTTCGATGTATTATTGCGTTAATAAAATTTTTGGAAGATTCGGGGCCTACGTGTAGCTGTATGGCAGTTAACATGAAAATTACTCACAAACTACCGCCTCGTAATTTATTATTAGTACGCAACTAATCTTATTCGTTATTTTGAACGAGAAAGTTTCATTTCACAGGGAGATGCGGATGCATTAAATATTAGCCTGCGAACAGTGACTCCTATTTTACAAATTTTTAAAACGGGCATACTACTAAAAGTCCTAAAAATGCAACGTAAAAAACCCGTCAGCGATGTTGATGGTTTCACACAAGCAGTTTCGAATTAAACCGGAAGTGATCAATGTGCAATTTGACAAATGTTTCTCACCAAACAAAAGAGGCATTGCGGTGACCGTCTTATCTACAACGCACTGTATAGATTTTTGAGGTTCGACTACAATAATTGAGTAAAAAAATTTTAATTTGTGCTAAAAATCCTTAGGCGCGTGTCACTGATGAGTTTTCGTTTTACATAAATTTATTTGCGCATTTATTAAAACTTTTAATGAAATTTTACCGAACATTTGAAAAACAAAGCTGTCAAAATTGTCTGCGTGCAAATCTGCAGATAATGACGTGTCAAGTAATTAAAGATTGAGCGCGTGCAGCATAATGACAGTATTAACAATTTGTATTACAAATGAACGCGAAAATCTAATTAAGCGACTGAAGCAAACCGCCATGCAAATTGGGCGACTGTAATTAAATGGCGAAATAATCTAACCAAACCGAATGTAAATAAGAAACAAAACACAGACCAGAAAACTAATTATTATTTGTCCCACTTTGTACTAAATCCCCGTTCAGCCTCAATTACCAGCGAGTGGCTCTTAACAAAATTATTTTTTCCCCGCAAATACGCCAAAAAAATTATACCATGTGCTTAAAACGTTTAAAAGCTCGATCAATCCCTACAATTAATTCAATTCCTACTGCAATGTAATTATTGTTTGCAGGGCGGTATTGAATGTGTTTTCTAGGCAAAGCGAGACAATAAACGATCATGAAAAACATATTATATTGTATTATTGTATTATTTATATTATTATTGTATATTATATTGTATATTATATTATTGGATCCGTGAGAGAAATTCTTTAATACCAACTGTCATTCGAAAACTTTGAAAACGCACAGAGGGAGATGAATAAATAATTTTCCATTTTCGCATGCATTATAAATGGGACCGTATAAACTTACCCGCTGAACCCTCGCCTCTTATTAACAGGTGAGGATGTGTTAATTGTTCCTGAACTGTCGCTGGCCGCTGCATCTGTAAAGAAAAACAAACAGTTAGTAATTGCCAAACTTTTTACGTGGCGTACTTTTTAAGTGCAACGATACCAGAATAAAGGAGCGCGTATTTAAACTGATAAATTCTAATTTTACGCCATGAAAAGTATTCAGTGATAATGAAAGTATAATCTAACAAAGAAGGCAAAGAAAGTAGAATACGAAGTTTTAGAAATAGTCTTGGGTAAAGACTATTTTAATGAGCACGAAAAAATTTTTCCCCAACCAGTGGTTCACAAACTGTGGATACTAATTTTGTTATTTTAAATGGAAGAATATTTTTTTTCATTTCTTTATTCGATAGAGAATTGTATTCTGAATTCAGTAATATAAAATTTGTACTTTCTGGAATAATAATTGTTATGAAAAAAGGCAGGTTTAGATTTATTTCGTTATAGGGAAAATAAGTGTGCCATGGACGAAATAAGTTGAAGATGAATTGCGATTTTAGAGTGCTGTGCCCGAAACAATCGCACATTTATGTTGTTTACCACTGTCAATTGCTATTATTGAATTATTATTGTAGTGTGAATATTAAATAAGTTCAATTTATTAGAAACATGCGTAATTTTACTCATAGTGAACGAGTTGATATGTACGAAGTGTACATTTTAGCAAGAAAAAATAGTTTCCTCGGAAAAAGAAGTACCATCACATAAATATTTTCGATGATGAGAAGCCAGATTACGTGCTAATACAACTGCACTTATTGGAAAATCGAGAACAACAATAAATAATGATATATTGAAATAGATATTTGGGCCTATTTTGAAGCAAATCCAAGGGTAATGATTAGAATGGCTGCTACCGAGTACCACTGTAATGTAAAAAGAGTACATAAGATTTTAAAAAGGAATAAATACAGACCATTTAAACTAAAAAATGTCTAAACATGTTCACTGTAAGAAATAATCATTATTGGAGTACCGAGATAATTGTGCGTGAGAGAGGATTTCATAGAAAATGGTGTGTTATTTTGAAAATAAAAGATTTTTTCATATGTAACTAAGGCTAGTACTATAAGGTTCTCTCAGAGGTAATCGGTATTTACAATTTTTAAGAGACGTGTCAGCAAATATGTACCTAAATGATGCGCCCTTAAATGTTACAAGAGATTTATATTATCAATACGCTGCCCACAATGTGCAATCAGTGGATTAGTACTAACGGCCCTATTTCATGGTCCGATTCATTCGATTTTTATATATGGGACTATTTAAAGGATAAAATTTACAATAATTTGTATCCAGATTTACAGCGTAAAAAAACGGCATAGAACATGTTTTAAATAATATGAATGTCCGGCCGTTAAGAAGTAATTTGTTACGAAGAATTGTTTTTCACATTCATTTGTATCGTCCATAGTAGTAAACTTATGTAAACGGATATAAAACCAAACAAGCATTTTTCTCATAAAAACTGTTATCCAGGGGAATACAAATATTATATCACTGAATTCAAAATAAAATTCTCTGTCGAATAAAGAAATAAAAAAATATAGTTCCATTTAAAGAACAAAGTTGGTATCCACAGATTGAGAACCACTGGTTAACAAACAATTTTTTTTCGTGACGATTAAAATAGTCTTGTAAAATAGAAATTTCTGTAAATTACCAGTAAAGAACAATAACATTTTCCATTACAGTTTTATATTTCTTATTCTAATCGATTTTAGTAGTCAAATGAATCTACTTTTGATGTATATTATTATCGACTGACTTTGGCATATTATGTACGCATTGTAATCCGTTACATTAGGGGGAAATAAAAGCGAAGTAATGGAAAATATGAATAGTTCTAAACTTGTCAAAAGTGCGACATTTTTTGTTATATTGAAAGAAACCCAATTTCGTCAAGTTTAATTTTTTTTTAATTCCGTTTAAGGGGCGGGAATCATGAAAAATTTTATATTACAGTGCTGTGTGCTGTGGATAACGAATAAAAATGCTGCGCCCCACGAAATTTTCTCTTATTTCCCCAAAATTTGTTCCATTTCCTGCATATTTCCCAGATAGTTCCTCGAAATTTTCTATATGAGAGACAAAAATTTCCCTAGTGATCAACCCTTCGAAGTTGGTCACGACTTATTCATTTCATTACATAAAAGATCGCTACGATTTCCCTTAGTTACCCTAACATTTCTAAGAATGCCTTAAATGTTCCCAACCGAAAATTTCTCCGAAATTATTAATAAGTAACGTTTGCTTCCCTTTAGAAACCGTTAATTTTCTTAGAATTTCCTTTAAATTCTTATTCCCTCAAAATTTTCTAATATTTCACGAGAATTTCCTCTAATTCCCCGACTTTTCCTATGAGGGATAACAATTTCCCTTCTGATCAACCTCTCGTAAAAGACATCTGAAAATTAGCTGCCGGAAGACCTGCTCCAAGAGAATTTTCCTGCGGAAAATACCATCGTAAGAAATTCGCTCCCGTTCCCCCATGTATATTCTCTCAGGCAGAAATTGGCCTACGGAAAATTCTCGCGGGGGGTACAACTCCGGAATTTTCGTCCCCAAGAAGAATCGCTCCAGGATTTCCTCTTTCGGGAACTTCAGTATATGATTTTACAGTTCCGAAAAGTACCTACTGTCGATGCCAGGCCAGTTCTCGTAAGAAGTGTACTGCACCATTAATTAGTTAACCCATCTCCCTATTTAAAAATAGGGGTTAAATCAATTTTTATTCTTGCATTTTTTTAAATCTCAAAAAATTGTTGACAGTATTTATATTCAGGCTGTGAATTTTCTCTCAGATGCAAAGAGTAAAACGCGACTAACAGTTAATGTCAAATGAAGCAGCCTCATCCGCCATATTACATTAGTGGAATTTTCCTGAGAGGGGGGGGTTAGAATTAATGTTATCTCTCATTGTATCCTAATTAAAGGTCTCAACGAAACGAACCGTTTTCTACCAACCACTGCCCTTCTTTCTGTCCTCTTATCAAAATACGGGGTGGAGGGGGAGGGGGGGGGGAGAGAGGGGAACTGGTACTTCATGGTACTCTAATGAATGGTCTCAACGAAGGGAATTAATTTGCAAGAAATATATCCATTGGTGATGTCAAAACAAAAGCTATTTCGGTTAAAAAAATGCGCGTTATCATTACAGTTACGTAACGTTAAAAGCCCAATTTTTTTAAATTAAGTTGTGTACCTGATTTGTTTATACAAGGTGCCAATAAAATTATATAAAACGGCAACGGGAAAAAGATTAAAGACAATTAAAGCGCGTTTTTGTTGTAAACCATATAAGGATTTTGTACATTTCCTGACTGCAACATTGGTAATTTTTACCATAAATAAACTAAATGAGAACTGATAAAGGTGTGGAACCTAAACCACGATAGTACCGATTTCAAATTCGTTAACCATCTTTCGAATGTCACTATTAACGCGTAACCAAATAAAGGCGTTCCACAATCCAATTTTCCAAAATGCTGCTACCCTTCCAAAGGAGAAAATCAGTTTTCCGTGGGAGCATCGATAAATGTAAGTTATTTGAATTTTGGATCTCAATCTCTGGTACCTGGATGATGGAACTATACCAGATCCACCAGACAGTATACTGGCAGAAATGATGACACTCAAGGAAAGGTTAAAAAAAATTCGCCTGTCAATAAATCCTTCAAAACGTAAGCTGTTCGTTTAAAACCATTTTCAATAAGAAGTCCTAGATCGATTCGAGTTAGTTGACCTATCTACTGAGAACAACTCCTCTATGCAACCGTACGAATTTGATCTCAACCATAGATCAAGATTAAAAGCATCATAAACTGTAGCTTTTACTCTTACATTCAGTCGACGTCCTTGACTGCGCCCACTGCGGGCGCAGTTGCGAAATCCAGGCAAAGAAGAAAAGGACTAAATATAAATCTATTATAAATATAAATCTATTAAACACGGAGAAAAATGATTTGTCATAAGAACAAAAAAATAAGTATATGCAGCTAATTTTCTTTGCACCTATATGGACTGCTAAAAGTTTTGCAGCAAGAGCAAAGAAAAAATGCTACCTATTTTTAGTTGATGTAACTAAATACGTTTTGCTTTTCCTACTAAAATCTGAAAGTACCTGTTACTAAACTATTTTGATTTCGTAACAAATAACTTTAGCTGCGGCTGCCAGTAAATTTAGTATCCAATAATCGATGAAATTTGCAATAGAACCAGTCCCATTTGTAGCCACTACTAACATATTGAAGTACCGGTCACTGAATCTCTTTGCTCTCTAAGCAAATTATTTTAGCTGCAGCTGCTAAGAGCGTTATTATCCTATAATAGACGAAACTTGCACTAGCAGCTAAATTGTGTGCGGTCTGGCAAAAATTGTCTTTGTAGCCACAGAGATCTGGTAATTCCAAAAATAAATTCCTTCGTGTATGAAAGGTCTCAGTCCAATGGTTAATGACAGACGTCCATGGAGATACATTGTTCTCCAGCCACTTGACAATTTCACTCTTCTCTTCACCAATCTCTACAAATTTACACATCTTCATTATACTCATTGTTTTTAAAAGTAATGTAATGTTTGTGGAAGTAACATTCTCACCTTTATTTGAACCATGAACTGTAGCTGTACTTTTAGTTTTTTTTATTAATCAATCGAATACTAGTAAATCGTCTTCTCAAATTATAATATTTAGTAAATAATTTACCTCTCTCTGATTTCTTGCCCTGTTCGTTTACTATGGTAAAATAACAATCCTGGAAACATTTAATTAAAAATGCAATTCTCTACAACTATAAACGGACATACTTTGGTTTCTGTTGGGAACATACGCTGGACGATGACCGCCAAACTGTCAAGCCGAGCTGTCGGTATACTGCAAAATACGCATGTAGTATAAACAGATTTACCTATGTCTTCGTTATACACACCTCTTAGTAAAATCAACCTTCAGCTCGTGTTCGATTATCACATCTGGGTCTTTTTTGTCGCCATTTTGAGGCAATCGTTAGATTTCGACGCTTAGCCGGCGGTATTTTATACTTTATACATTTACAGAAAGTAAAGACACATTTTTTCGACTTACCTTTGAAGACGCTACTCAACATTTCTAGCCCCCAACATTTTAGTAGACCGTCGATGTATCACCAGAAACACTTTCCACACTCACACACTGCAATTCTGATTCCGACATTTCCGCTAATTTGCTCAAGGTACAGAACACTTACGCGTAAAATTAAAATGATAAATGAAACCGAAACTTACTGCTTCGCTTGTACTTCTACTTAGGCAGTGGGCTGCGGAAATTGGTTTTATTTCTCTGCTGACCGTTGACTCATACCTACGTATGTAATTCTATAGCTAACATACTTTGTCGGCTCAGCAAACCATTTGCATCTGGGTGCAAAACAGATTGCTACGCGAGGAACAGCTGAGACAGCGAAATTTTCATTTGTAATTACTACTAGGATACCTTGTTGTCTCAGCTAATCTTTGTGTACTAAAATTTTTGTCACTTCCAACAAATTCGTTTTCGCTTCTGAGACAAACATAAAAGACATTCTACTAAAAGATTTTTTCATCAGAGCAAAAATAATGATAGCAAAATAGAAACTGCTAAGAGAACCAACTTATTTTTCTCCGTGTACGAAAGCTGAAATATGGTACAGAAGGTTTACTATTTAAAAAGCTATTATATTTCTATTTGGACGGTTTCTCTGTAAAAGATCAGAAATTTATAGTATAGACACGAAAATAGGCTCATTAACAGTTCACTGGCAATTCAACAAACGTGTAAGAATATATTTTCATGGCGACAATATTCCCCTAGTAAAGTTATGAGAAGCTTTAGGGACTTCTTAAGGAGTATACAATCGATGGTATATGTGTAAGACTTGCAAAGATTTTTTCATTAGTCAAAAGACCGACCCTCAAAACCATCGCGTTCAGACTCAGTAATTATTGCTGATCAGCTAATGTATTCTGAAAAGAGCTAAATCCAATTGTATGAAAAACTCCAAAGACAAAGGGAAAGTTGAACACCCAGAAGCTTAAGCAAATTTCCGTATTTACGTTTGAAATGAAATTATATTTTAAATTACTTAGTTTTGAATGATCCCAATTTCCTGCTTTCCGCACATACCAGAACCGCGAATAAAAGCATGTTCCTTTATCGGCGTGATCGAATTATATAATTCCTTCACTGAGAACAATTATCGCACATTCGATATCACACTGAATTGACTTTTATTTTCTAAAGTTACAAATCCGACAATCCCCACATAAATGTTTAAGACAAAGCGCTGGATTTGAGGCAAAAGGAAATGAAAGCGGAAAAATAACGTTTCTAATTGCAAAGCAAACACGAAAAAAGCTGATTCCAAATCAAATTAGCCAAACCAATTACTTCTGCTTCCCCTGTGATGGATTTTTGGCTACAACAAATGGTTTAAAATATTAGGTTTATGAATTGGAAATTACAATGCCGCATTACAAGTGCAAGTTAAAAATTAAAGCCACCTCGAACAACGCTAACAAATTAATTATAGTCCAGGAATGCTGTTTCGTTAATTAGTGTAGGTACAAGACCAAGCAATACGGCATATATTGTTGGCGACTGAATAATCTGTCTCAGTTACCTACCTAAAAGTTAGCGGAATTCAATTAAATCAAGAATTGTTGGTGATTAATTACGAAAGGTTTTAGTTCCGGCAGCATTCCGATTTTGCAGCAATTAAACGACGGTGGCAAATTCAACCTTTTCTAATACTACAAAAATGCGAATATTGAATTCGTTTGTAATTCATTATCGGAATCAATCTAAGAAATGTGTCTAACACGGGATGGAATTAAATTTCGCTCAGAAAAGTTAAAGGAAGTTACCACAGCGTGCAGCGCGCAATTTTCGTACGTGAACAATGACAAGTTTGCCAGGCCAATTTGTTCCGGAGTCCTCGTAATTTAGGTTTCTAGCAAACACTCGGAGGGAAACAATTCTTAGGGGCACAATTCGATCACACCTTTACATTAGGTTTCAAAGTGGCAAAGTTTTCTTAACAATTCGAAATCTAAAACTTAAGCTTCTAGTTTCATTTCCGCGAGAGCTTACGTCATACGTCCAACTTTAACTTTGATTTTTGGGCACGGCGGCGTCAGAAAAATGAGGTCGTCCTGCTAGGTTTTCTCTAAAACATTCTCGAATGCAGAGAAGTTCCAACTGTATGCATTAAATATCAAGTATGTAAACTCTGAAAGCCTATATATACACTTATTCCCATACAATTTTAGACCCTCGTTTGGTTCTAACATTCAATAATTCAACTATTCTACTGCTTTATTAATTCCATACTAGATTCAAAGACAAAGACAAAGACAACACTTTTAGGCAATCCTAAAGGCCTCGTAGATGTGAAGGAAAAATCGGAGACATACAAAATGTCTTGCAAAGATTGTAGTCAAGTATATATTGGGCAAAGAAAAAGAACATTAAAAATTTCTTTCAAAGAGCACATGGCTCACTTCAAAAATAATCGTTGGAATAAATCTAGCGTTTCCGCATATATGGTTCAGAACAGTCATATTGCTGACGATATTTGCCTAGTCAAGCAAGTAAGTTCCTTAGTTCCTAATGAATAGTAATTCAGGAGGTGCTTGAAGACAATCAGAACTCGTAAACTTCCACTTTCATTTGTAACTCGCACCTTTTAAATTTGCGATGGTATCATGTTGCCTTGTGAATAGTAATATTCGTGATAACGCACTAGGTAGCCTGGCTGCGGCAGCCAGCCGAAACACAACGGTCGTTGAATCGTCAGTAGTCGTGTTGGACGCGTACAATCGATTAGTATACACGTGGACGAAGCTGTCCCTGATTACCTTTAGTCTCGTAAGAAACGTAGAACGAAACAAAAAACAATATCAAAAGTTGTTTTTCAAATATTTCATTTCTTTTTCATCTCTTTACCGTCAACAATATTTTTTCATAAAATCGTACGACACAGACATGCAAAAAATATTATACATAGGATGGTCTAAAGTAATGGCCTGCAACCTTAAAACAAATGAAATTTAGTTGGTTTCCATAGACGTAATGTGTTGGACCGTTTCCTCAATAAAATTCTGATGTAGGTTAAAAGTATTGGTTCCTTCGATCGAAACTGTACTCTTACACCAAACAAATTCAAATACAGTGCCTGTTCGAAAAGTAGTGCCACCGATTTCGCTAAAAAAATGATTGGGCAATTCTTCTCCAACATTAAATCAAAACACTCCTCCCGGATTGATACAGCGCCTCCAGCGAGACTTTCAGCCTCGAAGGCATCATGGAATGCCTCTTTCTGAATCTCCTTTAGAGCCTTGGTGCAAACACGAACTTATAAATTAAGATGGACCGCTGATCAAACAGTTGCATAGAGGTAGAAATGGCCCTAAAGCCCCATTCACATAGGTGGTAGTGCGGTACCGTTGCCTTGTTGTGCGGTGCGAGTCGGTGCTGTCAAGTTGACATTTGCTTTCACAATCACCGCAAAATTGGCCCGCCTACACAAGTATGACCAATCAACGACAACAGCAACAAATATGTTGCACTTCTATTGGTGCTTGCTAACGGTAGGGCAGAAAGTTTGAAGTTTACATACTTTCGGCACGCGGCTGCAATTCGTCTGCACTGCACATGTCATTGTGAATTGTCATATGGATATGCGTATTTCAAACTTTTATACAAAGGCACCGCACCGCAACAGCACTGCACTACCACCTATGTGAATGGGGCTTTACATGGGCGCCGCCATGATGTGCACGTTTTAGTTATTTTCTAGGGAATTTTTCCTAATGCTCAAGTTTTGAGACTATTGCTGCCTTGGAAAATGACATGTGTCACAGTAATTTATTTAGAAAACGTGAGGTTAATGCTTGTTTATTAGTTGATTTGAATTTCGCGCCAAGTGCACATCATGGCTGCCCCCATATAGGTGTCATTTGTCGATTGAGCATTACCAGTCCATCTTAATTTATAAGTTCGTGGGTGCAAACCTCTTTGACCTCCTCAATTGTTCCGAAACGATCACCTTTCAAAGGATTTTTCAAGCGAGGGAACAGAAAAAAAGTCCGGGAGAGCCAGGTCTGCACTGTAGGGTGGTTTGGGAACGTCTCTGTACTTTTGAATCAGCCGGAAAATCGCCGTGGCTGGCCCGATATTATGGTGGAGTTTCCAATTGGTTGCGATGTCAGGCCGGACGCGATGAACCCTTCGTTTGGTCTTTTGAGCACTTTCAAGTAGAATTTGGGATTTGGCAGAAACACTTTCCCTAATTTCTGAGAACACAATGAGCATCGTCTTGACCAACAGTACTATTGGTAACAGGATATAATCGAATGTTATTTAAATACTCCTACAGTACCAGTGAATCTAGCAGCTTGTGCTGCCCATTTTTTTGAATAAAAAAAATGTTCTATTGTTTGCGTTTTGTCCGTCCGTCTGTCCGTCCGGACCCGCTCCTGACTACTTTTAGAGGAATTGTCTTTAGAGTCCTGGAATTTTTTGCAATAAGTACCCTATACCTTAAAAGTGTGCCATACGCCATCAAATTTCTCTGAGATGCGGTTTTTGAAAGTAAAACGTGCATAACTTTTACATACGACAACCAATTGGTTGTATTGTTGTTATAGAGAACATAATATCAGAGATTATGAAAATAAGTTGAGAAAATCGAATTAATTGTTTGTAATGACAAATTAAATAGCATTGACGATGGTATAGCTATACATAAAGATTCATTGAACAATAATTGATTTCAAAGTTTAAGTGAACAAATTGAAATATTGTTTTACTAAGAAACTTGAGAATTGTTATTAGTGGGAAAGAAAATTTGCTATTGCTATTTCTGTACAAAACTCTTGAGAGAAGTCAATGCGTTTCAAGCTGATGAAGATCGTGGCATGCTGATTGCTGCGCTTATCTCGAAATGTAAAAAGTATAGTGGTCGTTGAATACTCAAATGAAGCCAAATCTGAAAGTAACGTCACTATCAGAAGTGTGACTATATCGGAATTAATTAAAGCGCATTAAGCGATTGAAAGCTCATTATGTAACACTATCAGTTCGTATACACATAAATAATTGATCAGGGTCATGTTTCTGTTTAGAGTGTACGGTTCAATTAAAGCTTGTAGGAAATGGAATATAGGATAGAAGGCAGCAAAGCTAATGCCATTCGTCATGGTTAGTACATATCTCGCGCAAAAGCATAGATGTAGAAAAAGGGTTATAAATAAAGGGCCGAAGGTCTTGTAAAATGGTGGAATATTATAAATTCATGAACCTGAGTCCGTATTCGCGAACTAAATTTATCACAGATCAGCAGCAAATTCGAATTAAATATTGAATTATTGTGACAACCTTCTGTTTTTGTGAGCAGTTTACTTTTGCTCAACAAGACGTATGCCAATCAATAATCTTCCTTTGTAACCACGCGAAATATATTCATCTTACGCTGAAAACATAACTTTATTTCACCCTGAATAGATCGAAAAACTCATGCATGAAAGATTGATGATCGGATTAGTTTTAGTTTGCAGATTATCAATAAAAAGTGTTCGGATGGAATTAAAGGACTGTCAAAACGTGCTTTATGGACGAAATAACACGGCCGTTGAACTTTCAATGATCTTGGAAAAAGGAACTTGTGTACTTTCGAGCTTTCAGTTCAATTGTGTTATGTCCTTTTCAATAGACAATTTTCCGTGAAATACAATACGTCAATGTTCCTAGTACAAAACCGTTTTATGAAACAAAGCATTAAACGGAATATGTAGTGAACTTCTCTTTCGCGATTAACGTTACTGAACCGATTGCAATCCTCTAAATGAAATCATTCGCTTGCGATTTCACCGTCTACCAATCAAGAAAATTCAGTGCAGTACAAAACAAATATGATTATGTGCGGATTATTTTGCATACCGCGGAGCTCAGTCTTTTACGTCGTAAAAATTTGCGAGGGATATTACGTCATTCGGGTACACGAAAGTGTTTCAGTTTACTGAATTATGTATGCAAAGAGCAAACTTTCTCAAGAGGATCCGCAAGCTACCGAGATTAATTTCTAAAGAGCCTGCTTGTATTACAAAATCGTACGAAACTTTTCTTATGTTTATAAACTGTTCAAATTGACAATGGCGTACTTTTAGTGTTATTTTAGACGGATTTTATGGGAATGCATAATTTTAGTTACAAATCTTGTAGGTGGCATACACCTAGACGGTAAACATTGAGGGGAATTCCTACAAAATATTAATCTGGCATTTGCATTAATTACGTGGCTAACATATCAAACAAATTACCTTTAAAAGATAATTGTCAATAATGGTTCTTTTGTTTCATAATAAAGATTATCAAATGTAATTCATTTTGTTCACAGTATCCCCGAACGGGTCTTTAACTTGAGTTCACAGAAGCTCAATCGCGACTCTAAAAAATCACTGTTATTTTGACGCGATCTCTACGATGGCTCAAGACCAATTCATATTTTCGCTCTATTAATCACTTTGACATGAGCTCTTCGGCGGCTCAAAGCGCATTGAAAAATTTTTGCGTTCTTCGACGGATCCGTCTATCCGGACCCACTTCTGTCGTTTTGAACCACGTCTAGGGGAATGGTCCTAGAGTCCTGGAATTTTTTGCAGTAGGTAGACTATACCTTGAAGGTCTGCCAGACGGCAATCAATTTCGCTGGCTTAAAGGGGGGGCCCCCCATGACCAGCCAACATTTTGATGGAATAAGTTTTTTACGTACGTGGTGTATAATTCAAAAATGACCCACACATCCTTAAATTTCATCAAAACATTATTTGGATTTTTTATCGTCATCAAAACCCAAAAAATAGTTGAAATTTGTTGACCAGTATAATGTAAGTGGGCATCAAAATTAGTGACTATAGTATTAAATCAATGATTTCAGTTTTTTTTTAATTTTACACTACTTTTGGACAGACGTTGATAGTTACCTACTGGTGTGCCTTATCCGTTGAGACAAGGCCTTGGCATGGTGTAACCATTGGATGACGCTTCACTCACTATGAAATAACGGTACCGCGAATCAGTAACATATTATTGAACGTTTAATTGGACAATGAATGTACATTTCAAATAAGTCACTTCTACAAAACGTCATCCTGTTACACATAATTTATAAATAATGACGAAAAACGTCGCCGCGCCCCTCATTTATATTAATACCCACCAGAGAAACTAAGGGTAAACTAAATATTGTTGATACTGATGACTTTAATGAGAACTAATTCTGTAAAGCGGGTACACAATTTGATAGCTGCTCGTTTAACTAATCAAACGTAGTTATCGCCCCACTCGAGTTTCATTCTATTAAAGAATCTAATTAATTCGTTCGGGTGACATTTATTATTCAGTTGGATTAATGGACTTCAACAAAATGAGTTCCTAAGGAAAGCAGCAATTTTCCAAGTTTACCCAGCCATGCTAGATATTTCCACTATTCTGTTCCGTAGAGCTGAAATTTATGCAAAAGTGGTGTTACAAATTCGCGTATTGAAATCTACGGAATAACTAAAATTGCGGTTATGTTCCAACCGTGTGACAAGCATCGTAACCAATGTTAAGAAGCGCCTTCTGAGGTTTCCGCAAAATCGTTTGTCATTACGAAAACCCAAAGCCTTCTAACCCACATCACATCTAATAATCGTTTATGAAATTTGAACAAACGAGGAGATTAATAAAAAATGATATGATTATGAATTTATGGCACGAATTTTGTATAATACAAAATAGTTCGGGTGCGCCATATATAAAAAAATACCCTTTATACATTTCTAAATGTTTCCGTCTTCTTCTATTTAATGGGAGTTAATATAAAAAACACTTTGCCACAAAGTTTTAGGATAAGCTGTTTGGAAGTTCTAAAAGTAGTTTCTGTATTTGAGCAACTTTCACAAAAAAGTGATTAGCAAAATTTTATCTGGGTTGTTAAGTCCTCAACGGAAACTTTTAGTAAAAAATTTTTAAAAGAGGTTTTCTTTATACTTAAATCAGTTACTAAAATATTAAAGGATTACATTCCTTTAGAAAAATGCAACGACTAAGATTTCGTCTCGCGATTTGTTTTAAGGGTTTCTGTATTAAGGGAGTTAAGCAAATTCCTGTGTTGTTTGTTTCGCCACCAAACTTTGCGCTGGTGGATTTATTTTAATGCATTTCGAAATTAACTTTTATGAAAAAGTTATAAGTCGTCTAAAAATGTGCGATATTCCACTTTTTCCCGGGGCTTAATATTGTAACACGATAATTTACAAATGCAATAAATTCAGATTTTGCGCAGATCTTTGCTGAACCAATCCGATTTTTTTTATAGATTTATACGAATGTTTCTATTATGCAAAATCGTTTTGATTTATACAACTTCATTTAAAATTCTGAGTATATTCCGCATTCATATTAACCACACTTGCGGGATTTACTTAGTTTGCTGAGTATGCCTTAGGCTATTGCCTTAAATTGAATGCATTACAATGTAATCAACCCGTTTCAAACTTAATTATTAAAAATTCACGCTATGGTAAATCGTTAACGATTTTTATCCTAAATGAAAATTTCATACGCGGCCATTCTTTTACTTTTGTCATACAATGGAAGTGTATATAACGGTCGGCCCAAATTGAAGTTTAAGAATTGATTAGGCCGAGAAGTGAAATTAAGGGTTTGATTTTGGTTTATATCAATCTATCACAAAAATTTAACGCCCGCAATTTCCAATACATCAATTTTTTAGGGAATGGTAGTTCCATATACGTAGTTAACAATGATTTCGTCTGCTACTGTATCGACCAGGGTGGTAAATATTATTCTGCAGGTCGTTTCTAGGTAAGATCTTTGTGACCAAAATTGATCTAAATTACCAGAACCAGATACAAAAACAGCACTAAATCACAATACAAGTGTTAATAAATCGTAGGCGTTTCGACAGCAAAGCTATCATCGTCAGCGAAAATCTTAAAAAAAAGTATAAATCAAATTGCACTAACTATAAGTGAAAGTGAAGGTTTGTAAGTTCTAATTGGCCCATTGGGTTTCCCGTATCAATTATCTACTTCATATGCTTTTTAAAACAAATTTTCAGTGTCGTCTCGTTACCCAATACCTATATTCTTGATTAAAATCTAATTAAAGATAATCCTGGGTAATACTTTCGCGCGGCTAACAAAGGTAAAGAGGTGTTCAATGATGTTCGTTGGTTGATGATATTTTGTATTATGTGACAGTTTCCGGTATACCTTTACTATTCCCTGGAATTAATGGTGGTTCTGGCATCATGTGATAATGTTTTTACGTTCCCTAGTATCCTGATAGATTCGCTACAATAGTGGCATAAAATGCTGCATCCATTTGTTGTAGAAACGTCAAAGGTACTCGAGCTTTTACTAATAGATCAAGCGGTGCCAGCCCCAATTGTTAGAATCCAATGATTTTAGTCTATTTTTATGGTCAAAAAGTTGCCATGGTATCGTTTTCCAAACGAATATACTAAAGGTGAGGTAATCGTAACGAGATGAATTGCTA